TGTTGTTCTTGTGATTTTTGTTCGTGATTTGACTCGCCTCCACCTTTTGGTGGAGTTCGATTGACCGGCATTACGATAAATTAAGCGATTATCAAAATAGGATATGAAAACATAGTTTACTATTATGAACAGTTTGAGAAGAACTGATCTTGTGTTATAACACTTTTAAAATAAAGGTTTGTGTACACACTAATCAAAGAATAGGTTGTATATGCTGTCTCAGCTGAATATTTTAATTTTGTTTAATTACTATAAACAGCTTTTTCAGTAATAAAATAAAATATAATAATAATATCTGTCTCTATCAGCACTTTTTGTTTTGTTCATATATACACAAAACCGCACTGTTCTTTTGTTTGAATGCTTATTCACTTTTGATTATAAGCTTTAGAAATTAATCTGCTGTCTCTGTCAGCTGTTTGAATTTTTTTTTTAAATAAAGTTGTGCAAAAAGAAAGAAAGTCAACAAAAATCGAAAAAAGCGTGCGCTATTTTCAAATTAATATTTTATGCACTTTAACTTTTACTAATTGTTTTTTGCCCAAAACTGATCTATTTTTATGAATTTGTATTAATAACAAAAGTGATATTTATAAGAATATCTCTTATTTACTTGTTTTTATACTGTAATTTAAATTTCTTCGAGACCGGTTAAAAAAACACGTCCGCTCACTACGAAACTTTGACTACGATCCATATGTGAATTAATGCACTTTTTATACTTGAGTCAGTTCGTTTTAGGACTTGTAAGGCTATAGGAACAGTCATATAACTGTGGACCATCAAGTAAGCAAAATGTAACTGGAAAATGGTCAGAAGACAAATCGCAGCTAGTGTATATTGAGATAAAATTTTTGCTTATGCCTTTGGTCACGGTGAAGTCTATTAGGTCTGGTATTTTATTGTTCTCGGTAGGCCAATATGTTGACTGCCCAGTAGAGATTACGTCTAGTGCATTTTTACTATTTAGAATAGAATTGTAGAGCTATTTTCCTTTTGGATTACAGAGTCGTGAACCGCAATAGGTGTGCTTGGCATTGTAGTCTCCCGCCGCAAGAAATCTTTCACCTAGAGTTAAGAAGTAATCCGTAAATTGGGTCTCAGTAATGTTGAAGCGTGTACAAATTTTTAAAGTACTCATTATTTGGACAAAAACATTTGCATTAATTGGCTTTACATTTTAATTATCTCGTTACGAGTAGTTTGCATGATTGACATAAACTGAGTTAAGCTCTGAGTGAGAGTGGAGATCATCATTTCCAAACTATTACTTTGAACTGGAGGGGCTTGTTGCTTATCAGATTTAACAAAATTAGCATATAAAACACCTTGTGTAACAGAAGTTAAAGGTTGAGGTACTTCAACTAATTTAATGGGGTTGCTTCTTGTAGGATTACGCAACGCTTCTTTCTGCAGAGCTAACCTGTGCTTCAGTTCTTTATAAGTAGGACAGCCTCTGTAGTTTGTAGTGTGATTTCCACTGCAGTTGCTACATTTTTTGGAGTTGGTATCCTTTATTGCTGTTTTATCGCATTCGAAACTATGGTGAAGATCACCACAAGCTACGCACACTGTACGAAGAGTGTAATATAACTTAGTATGGCCATACTCTTGGCCGTTTGTGCATTGCACTGGTCCATTTCTTTTGTGGGGCTCCTCAATGCTAATTCTGCGGTGAAGTAAAACTGTAGATTGTAGATGGGATGGCTCTCATTTTTTTTAAGTTTAGAAGCTTCCGGGTGAAGTTTAACTTTGAACATAGGTTGTAGGTTTTTATCCTTGTTAACAATGTTTATAACTGCTCTAGCGCTAAAGCCTTTTTCGCTTAGGGCGAAATCTCAATGGGTTCTACATCTGAATCAATACCTTAAATGACGACAAGGCCTTTACTACAGTTGGTGTGTGTAGTAATTTTTTTTGCTGTCTTCGAAATATTTGGTTATGACCCTAAAATTGTTTTCAGTGTCGATTTGGGTTTTGGTTTCGTGTATATTGCCCCTAGTTATAGGGACAATATGAAAAGTATTGACTTTGTTTTTTGTTGTACTGACATATACCTGCTGGCATATGTTAGACCCGTATACAAAATTCCATGTGGAGGTGACGGGTCTAACATATGCCAACAGGTATATCTCGGTACAACAAAAAACAAACTCAGGACGAGAATCGCTGGTCACAGACACGACATAAAGAGCAGAACAACTCCCGATGACCAAAAGACAGCATTAGCAACCCATTGCTCTATGATGAACCATACTCCAAATTTTGAAGAAATACAGATCATCAACAAAGAGCCTAATTAGAGAGACTATCAGAGACTAAACTACAAAAAAGACAATGAGGGTCTTGCACAAATTTACAGGTCTCTGATTAACCATAGAAAAATTTAATATATATTTATAACTTTAAAAATTTTTTAATTTATCCTCTATTGTTACCCATTTAAAAAATATTTTCGTTTTTTTCTTTTGTGATTTATATAAAATCACAATTATAAATTTTATTGTTTTTTCAAATTAATGTTTTGCTTTTGTTTAAATAAATTTAAATGTTAAAAATGTCAAACATTGAAAGAGACAACAATGTTTGTCATTTTTGGTTTTTTGATTTGAATATATGTTTATTTACATATATTTAAATATGTAATTTCTTTATATACACTGAAGGTGGTCTACGAAGTCGACCGAAATATTTGTAATTAAAACAATTTTTGTATAAAAATTAAATAAATTAAAAATTTAACACAGTTTAAAAAATGTGATTTTTTATTTAATTTAAAAAACATTTTTATGAACTTATGTGTTGAATAAACGACCTAAGCCCTGTAAAAATATAAAAAACTAATTTAATATCGGTCGTAATACCAATTTACTAACAAAAGTAATTCTTATAAAAATATTTGTTATTTACTTGCTTTCATACTGTAATTTAAATTTCTCGGAGACAGGCTTAAAAACACATCCGATCACTAGAAATATAACTGATAACTACTTAGCTCTGCAGATGCAAACATGCGGCACATGTTTGGACGATGAAAAACACATAGAAAAGATGAAAAAGAAATTTTGGCAACTGGATGAAGCAACCTACAAAACAAAACTTAACTTAGCAAGAAGAATTGTGCGAATCTCATTTTATAAACAATATACACATAACCAACCATGGTGGAAGTATCGTGAGATTAACGTTTCAACAAAATTCATGAATTCTCGAAGATTCTCAAAGCACAGCGATAAACCGATTTTATGTCCTAGAAAGAAGATTAAGCAAAGATGAAGTCGTCTGGAAGCAATACGTAAAATTTATGGATGAGTACGACAAGTTAACCCCCATGAACAAAATCGAGTGGACATCTTATTATATTATGTAATTTCACATCATTGTGTAATTCGACCTACCAGTAGTTCAACAAAATTTAGAGCAGTGTTTGATGCATACTGCAAGACCAACAATGGGTTATCATTAAGTGACATCTTGTTAACAAGCCCAAAGATTCAGAGTGAGTTGTTTTCCATTTTACTTTGTTTCAGATGCCCAAGGTTTGCATTTTTCACAGATATTGAAAAGATGTATAGACAAGTTCTTGTACATCCAAATGATCAAAAATAGCAAATCAGTGCGTTGAGAAAATTGCCTAATGACCCATTGCACTTTCACCAATTAAATACGGTAAATTATGGCACAAGGTCGGCACCATATCTGGTTACGAAGTGTTTGCAGCAACTAGCGAAAGACGAATCTACTAAATACCCATTTGGAGCCTTAGCAATTATAAATGATTTTTGTGTTGACGATTTTCTTAGTGGATCAGATAGTCTTGACACAGCTTCGGAGATACAACGTCAACTGCACGATTTATTGGAATCAGCTGGTTTAAATTATGAAAATGGTATGCTAATAATCCTTAGCTACTTCAAGACATAGCAAAATGGGACCAAAAGATAGACTTAGATTTCAGCAATGAAGAACAAGCATCAGTTAAAATATTAGAATAATCGTGGCAACCAAAGTGTGACAAATTCAGCATAAAAATTAATTTAACTCCATCTAAGCGAATAACAAAACGATCGATAACTAATAGTTTAGCAAAAATATTTAATCCCCTTTGAAAATGCAAGAGTTTTTGTGTTTAATTATCATTCACTAATTAATAATTTCAAATAATAGTAATATAATCTTAAGCTAAAAGAACATTTATTTATAATATGTTAATTCATCACTTTAAAATAATCGAAATATAATTTTAAGCAAGAAAAACATTTATTTTGAGCTAGACAAACGCGAGTTGCTTCATGGGACTTGAAAAGTAAGAGAGAGTTTAAAAATAAGAAACAACTGTCTGAAGAGCAGTACTTTCGTTACAAGGTTAACAAAAGTCGTTATTGGGTTTCATATTAATTAATAAAAGGGAGCAGCACATGTTATTCTAGGTACTTAAAATTTATATGTAAATATAAATACAACATAAAATGTAAGGAACGCAAACACAATGCAAGTACAAAAAATGCAACCGCAAAACATTCAACACCCTTGGCATTCTGGGTCCAGTGTTAGTAACAGCGAAAATAACTAATTCAAGATCTGTGGCAACTCAACTTATCATGGGACGAAGTTGTGTCGAACGAAGTACATACCAGATGGATTCATTTCTGCAACGAGTTAAGGTCACTTCGTCATTTTCAGACAAATAGGCATATTTTTAGTATCGTCCCAATCAAAAAGCTCTTCTAGAAGCAATATTATGAAAAAGGGTAAAGAGCGATTTAAATTATAAGACAGAATCAAATTACTGGACTGATTCTGAAATTGTACTCTACTGGATTAATTTATTGCCAGCAAAAAATTAACAATTAGTAGCAAACAGGACTGCGGTAATTCAAGACTAATCCGCATCAAGTCAATGGCGTCATGTAAGTTCAAGACTAAACCCAGCAGATGCTTTATCACGCAACATCAAACCATCTCAATTACAAACTCATAATTTATGGTTCTATGGTCCTATGTTTCTACATGGTCCTGAAGACATGTGGCCAGAAGAATTTAATAAAACGCTATACAATCTGCCAGAGTGTGCCGAGTTGAAGAAAATTTCGCAGGAACTAATGCTAAAAGCAGCCAAAGATGATACTGAATATACAAGGCAAACCACAGAAATTCTTTTAACACACTGGTTCACATTGTTGGTTATGTTCTACGGTTCAACAAGCGTATTAAGCGTCTTCAATTTAATAATCATACAAATGAATTACATCCGGAAGAGTTAGAAAATTCAGTTAGGTACATCGTGAAGTCCAATCAGGCTGCTGAATTCAAGGAAGAGGTAACTGATTTAAAGCATCGCAAACTGGTGAAAGCATCTAGCTTATTAGCTGCATTGACGCCATTTCTAGATGAATATGATATCGTTCGGGTCGGAGGAAGATTAGACGCATCAAATCTAACATATAATGCTAAACATCAAATGCTCCTCCCATACAATGACTGCACATTTAAGCTATTAATGAAGAAAATTCAAGAAGAAAACAAGCATTGCGGTGGTCAAGCATTATTGGCGACACGACAAAAATTTTGGCCGATTAAAGGTAAGATAAGGTGTAAACCTGTAACTTTCAATCAAATCATGGGAAACCTTCCATAAGACGAGTCCAACCAAGTAGACCATTTCTTATCAAGGGAGTCGATTTTTGCGGACCAATTTTGGTACACTACAAAGTGAGAGGAAAGCGACCGCACAAATCATATATTGCGGTTTTCTACTGTTTTGCCACCAAGGCAGTATATTTGGAGCTGGTAAGTGACCTAACTTCCGACGCATTTATTGGGTCAGTTAAACGTTTCGTTGCGTGGCGTGGACACTGCCAAAATATGTTTTGTGACAATGCAACTAATTTTGTTGGAGCCAATAATAAACTGAATGGACTAATAGAACTAATTTACTCAAAAAAATCAGGAGAAGTAATTGAAAGAGCATGCAGCAAAAGAAGTATTAAATTCAACTTCATTCCTCCTCGTACGCCTCACTTCGGAGAGCTCTGAGAAGCAGTAGTGAAATCGGCGAAGCATCTGCTTGTGCGAAGCGTTGCCACGGAATCGTTAACGTACGAAGAGTTAGAAACAGTTATTATTGAAATTCAGTCGATGTTAAATTCTGCACCGATCACTTCAATGTCGAATGATCCAAATGACTTTGAAGCACTTCCGCCAGGTGAATCTCTCACAGCACCAGCAAATACCAGCTCACCAAATTTAAAAACATCATTATTAACAAGATGGAAATTGGTGTCCCACATAAAACATGAATTTTGGAGACTGTGGAACTCTGAATATCTAACGGAGCTACAATACCGACATAGATGGCGAGAACAATGTAATAACTTGCAATAAAAGTTAGAAAAAATGATAACCTTAGTTATCATGAAGGATGAAAATTTACCGCCTCTTCAGTGGTCATTGGATCGAGTAACCAACATATATAAGGGTAGTGACAGAATGGTAAGTGTGGTCGATGTCAAAACAGCATTGGGTATTTTCAGACGTGCCTTACATAATTTGGTTCCACTTTTTTTGAAAGCAACAGTAGTGAAGATGATGAGATACCACTAATACAACACAAAGAAGCAAAACAGTTGACAGCATCAAAAAGGCCTATAGAAGTAGCAAGTTCGTCACTTAGCAGTATGAATAATTTCAAACGCAATTTAAAGGTTTCCAAACGATCGAGCAACTGCTGATCTCACATCAAAATCTAGGCAAGACAAAACATGATGTAAAATTGCTAAATAATATAGGCACATATATATCTGAAAAGGCGGGTAGCGATATATACTGCAGTCTACTGTTCATCGATGTTATACTTGATATTTGCTCAAATTCACTTATACAGCGGTCAAAAAAAATATTCTTTATTAACTAAATTTTTGTAAAATGTTATAATAACAACAAAACGAAAAAAAAAAACGAAAAAATAATAATGCAGTTTTCAACGTTTGTATTTATTTTATTTGTTTTAATTGTTTTTACTCCAAAAATTTAAAATTAAAATAACAAAAAAAGTAATTCTATTACGGAACACCAATAATAAAGCAAAAAAAATATTCGTCATTAATGCAAAGGACTGCAGTTTTTGTAAGCAAAACCTGTATTGAGTTCTTCCAGCTCCGTATTTTGTTTTGTATACACAATTATCTTGCCATCGCATCCAAACAAATAAAATAAATACAAAAGTTGAAAACTGCATAATTATTTTTTCATTTTTCTGTTAAGTTTTGTTGTTATTACATTTTACAAAAATTTAGTTAATGACGCATACTTTTTTTGACCACTGTAAACATTTTAAATTTTTGAATTACTAAACTGAAAATTAATTTCAACTAATTGAAATTATTAAAATTCACTTATTAAATTTATAATTGTTTTTAAACTTAAAAAAAAAATTGTCGACAACGCTTTTTACTATTTTGACGATCAACTTATTAATTTCAAATAAAGTGCATTTATATGCAAAAGCAACAATTTTAAAATCTAGATCAGTCGTAGACTGATCACTTCTTATTATTTGAATTAAAACAATTAAGATTCACAAAAATCCTAAATTTAATAGCCTGTGGGATAACCTGTCGTTTAAAAACCTCTTTTAGGCATTTTTGCAATAATTAACCAACTTTGCAGTATCCTGTGCGTTAATTTTTTGCTATTCTTCCCTGATGACGTTTCTTAACATATCCTTGCTTAAAATCGTGCGCTGGCGAATCTTGTTTTCCAAATGTACCCACAGATTATCTATGGGACTAAGGTCTGGTGATTCTTGTAATGTTTGAAGTTGCCTGAGAGCATAGTATAGCTGCCAAATCTGTACAATCGCTTCTGTATGCTTAGAGTCGTTGTCCTGCTGAAAAAAAAAGGTTGCCTCAAGTCCTAACATTGTGTCAATTTCTTTCAAATTTGTTTTAAGAATATTTAGAGAGCTATATTTATCCATTACATCTTGGATAAAATTTAGTTTGCCAGCACCATTACTTAATATACACCCCAAACTATCACGCCTTCACCACCATGTTTCATAGTTGAAATTAACTTTTGTTTAACATAGGCTGTACATGATTTTCTTCATACAAATTTTCTACCTTTGATTCCAAATATGCAAAATTAACTCTCATCAGAGACAATAACTCATTTTCATAAATTCATTGCTTTATTTACATGCTTTCTTGCAAAGCTTAATCATCATATTCCAATATGTCTGGACTTGCATGGCTTCTTTTTTGCAACATGGGTATATATGCTTTTCTTCAAAATTTTCTGCACAGTATCAGGAAATATTTTGTTTAATTTCACTTGGTTGATTATGCCACGTCTTGCACTATCTGACAGAATTGAGGGATGACCAGTTCGACGTTTAGAAATGTAATTACACGTCTATGTACATGTTCAACAATTTTTCGTTAGCTTATATCATGTTTTCAAAATTTAACAGTTATTCATCGCTCACTAATACTAAATTAACGTCTTTTATTTTCCATTGTAAAAATTTATTGTTTATATAAACAAATACTTTTAAATTATTAATTCTAGGAGTCTTTAGGAAGTCAACTCATAATTAAATATCATTTAATAACACATTTATGCTTGCAAGCGAAGTTAAACTAACGGTAAATGTAAACATTAAGACTTTTTGTGCTTTTAAAATTGTTGCTTTTGCATAAAAAAGCTTTTAGTTTTATTTTAAGAATAACTCAAGTTTTTATGTTTGAACGTCATTGTTATTTCTTTAGTTAAAATAAATCAATTTGAGTAAAAATTAAAAAAATTATGCGAAATTTAAGAAAAATTTTGTAGATGACCACAGACTTTTTCTGCTGTGTACATATTATCACATTAGAATTTATTGAACTTAATTTTGTTTTTGCATCTGAATCAGTTTCAAATTATATTTTTATTAATAACTAATAGGCTATGAGCTTTATATTTATATTAGGAGTATTCAGGCAACAGATTAGTTGCTTAGTTGATTAAAAAACTTCATATACAAAAAAATTAAAATTTTGATATTAATCTGTTGCTTGAACGACCCAAAATGCGTAATCTGATTAGTTTGTTGTATGCAAATGACTTGGTGGCACTCGTATTAACAGCAGAAGCGAAACATATGTTAACAATGAAATACTCAAATATTCGTAAATTTTAATATCATTTAATTTTATTATATAATTCATCTTATCATATCATATAATTTATCATATAACTAAAATTGAAAACGTGTCATATATCAACAAGTAGAATATTCAATTTTATACTTTTTAATTATATTTTATCCCTTTAAAAATTATAGTTTTACTAAATTTTATTTAATAATTTATGTTATTATTTTTGCATTTTCTTTTTGAGACACCCTATGCTCATAGACATTTGGCACTGGCAGCACTACTAATCAAATTTTCACTAATCTGAGAATCTCCGAAATAATAGATTCTCTGCTTAGTTTCAATTTTGTATGCAAATTTTTGTTGTAATTATTTACTAAGCAACTAATCTATTACCTGAATACCTCTATTATGTAAATATATTTTTAAAAAACGAACTATTTATATTTTTAAATACAAAAGCTTTTATTTTACTCTTTCAATAATAATTCAAATTTTACATTAATTAATTTTAAATTAAAGGAAAATAAATTAGAAATAAAGAATAGAAAACAATTAGCAAGACGAAGATGTGTTTATAGTTTGAAATCGATATAACAACGAAGACGTAGTTCAGTGGTGTACCGAGTTGTTATGCTGATTGGATTATCCAATCAGAGTAGTTCTTCTAGTTTCAATATAAAGTGCCACTTACACAGCATCGTTCGCTGTCAGCGATCGATGTCGTCGCTTGCGCATTGCTTTATTGCCCATTATATTATATATGTACTTATGCGTTTGAGTGAATGAACCTAAAAGATCTATTGTGCGCTCAAATTATATTTTAACTGTTTCTATTTTTATGTATACTTATTTTAATAGCCACAGTATATTATAAATTTTGAAAGCAACGATTAATTTTGCATTGACACGTAATATGATTAAACTGCGTTGAATAGAGTTGGATTCACTATACTTTCGTTGTGTTTAATGATGAAATATGCACATACTTCCTGTTGGGAGTGAAATGTATCTAACTCAAACATATGTATGTATATACATTTGCCATGTAATGTAATATAAATAATTTTTATAACAAACTTAATATTAAAAAAATAATTATTATATATAATAGTTACTTAAATTAATAGTTATTAATTGTAAAGACTAAAAATTGATAACTATTGACATAAATTAAATAAATAAATTTCACTACAATATTGATATTACATATTTCAGAATAAAAGATTACAGTTTAATTGATTTAATGTGTCAATGCAAAGATGATCATTGTTTCTAATATTTAAAAAGTATTTTAGTAATCAATAACTTTGTATTATTTTGTATTACAGTTGACATAAGTAACTAATATGCTTATTTAAAAATTTAATTCTTTAAAAAATTCTAATAGTATCATCAATTTTGTTAGTTAAGAAACTAATACCAATCATTTGATTAATACGCTTAGATATAATTACATAAATATAATACATAAATATAAGTAGTTTGGAATACATATATCTATGTTCAGCAGTCAGTTCGTCTTGTTTAACCTACCATTAAATTTCTAATCAAGTGCTTATTGTTGATATAATAGGTTAAAACTTCATACAAGGACTTTTCTCAAATACAGTAAGGCGAAGTCGAAAAATGGATAAATTAGCGTTCAAATAAAACAAGTGCTCATAATAAACTTATATTTTTAAATAAGTATATGTATTAGATTTCAAAATGAAAATTTATGAAATTTTTTAACTTATGAATTAAAAACTTAGTAAATCGTAAATAACTGATTAGCAGTACGAAAATTTATGACAAGTATCAAAGTTTAAAAACCATGATTCTTAAATAAACATTATTTGTATTATTTGAAATATTTTTATAATAAAGACCTGTTTATTTTTAGTTTTAAAATTTAAAATGAAAATATAATTGTCTTCACTAAACAGTGTCTAGATTTAAGAATGCAATCTAAAATCCGAATGTGTAAACATATAAAAAATATATATACGCATATAATATAATTAATTATATACACATGAAAGAAAAATTTTATATAAATATTTTGCAAAAATTTTTTAAAATCATATTCTAACTAGACAATTGAATAACGACAACTGCCTAGAAAAGAATTTTATCAAAACCAACAAAAGAGAAATATAAACTAGTTAATTATATATAATAAGTAAGAAACAATAATTAAAATAATTAGTAATACTAAAAACAATTATTAAAATGCCAAAGCAAGCAAATATATTTCATAGCATGATAAAACAAAGTAACGTTACAATAATAATTTTTTCAAACAAAATTTTAAATATTTTTCAAACAATTTAAAACCACTTGCTTTAAAACAAAGGCAAAATGTGACTATATGTTTAATATATTTAAAATATTATTAATATAAACAGTATATTTGATCAATATTAACTAAATCCAAGTAATATGTTATTTAACGTTATACAATTGTAATTACATATTTATATACAAGTAAATAAATGAACAAAGTTACAAATAACCTTAATACTTACTTATTTCTTAAATAATTTTTGCAGTATATGCGTGAAGATAGAGTCAACCAGAGAATATCTTTTATAGAATGGAAACTCCGCCTACCTCGATCAAAACTAAGAGAAATTACTTAAGAAAATTCATTTTTTATAACAATTTTGTCACACGTATTAAATAAGTGTGATTACACCACACCTATGCCACTTTTACGCTCTTTCATGCTCTTTCAGGGCTGCTGCATAACTTCTTTTCAACTACTTACTGTACAAGATTTTATTTAATCAGATATATAACACTTCGTTCAATAATGTGTGTGACTAACTAATTAAAACACATTTTTTTGCCAAAATTCGTTTTTATTCATCAACTTAGTCCCCTTTTAGGGAGATACAATCATTCCAACGCTTTTGCAATCTTTCGATACCGCCTTTGTAAAACGATTTTTCTTTGCCTTCAAAATAGACGTTAGTTTCGGCGATTACTTCATCATTTGAGCCAAATCTCTTACCACGAAGCATCTTTTTGAGGTCTGCGAAGAGCCAGTAGTCGCTGAGGGCCAGATCTGTAGAATACGGTGGGTGCGGCAGCAATTCGTAGCTCAATTCGTTCAATTTTGTCATCGTTTTCATCAACTTGTGACACGGTGCATTGTCTTGGTGGAACAAAACTGTTTTCTTCGTCTTTGAAACGCTCCAATAACGCTATATAATAGTCGCTGTTGATGGTCTTCCCCTTCTGGAGATAGTCGATGAATATTATTCCATGCGCATCCCAAAATACAGACGTCATAACCTTGACAGCCAACTGCTGCGTCTTTGGTCGCTTTGGGCGGCTTTCACCGGCTGCATGCCACTCAGCGGACTGCCGATTTGACTCTGGAGTGAAATGGTGAATCCATGTTTCATCCATCCTGATGTACCGACTCAAAAACTCCGACTTTTTGCGCGTAAACATGTCCAAACAGCTCTTTGAATCATCATCGGTGTGAGCAAACGCCTAAATCCAAACAAAATATTGCAAAAACAAAGCAAGACCTAAACAATAAGATAAACCCGGAAAATTTGAAAATCGCTAATATCTACGAAAGAAAGAACGGCATCATTGTTATAGAGGCAGAAAGTGATTCCGAGCGTGCAAAAATAAAATCTAGAAGGCGCTATGAGCGAGAATTATGAAGTAAAAGTCCCAAACTCTATTAATCCACGATTTACTATCTCTAGAATCAGTTTTAAATATAACGAACAGGAACATATCGAAAAATTGCGAAAACAAAATCAGTGCCTCTCTGATTGTGAACTAAAACTAGCAAAACTTTATGAAATAAAACGAGAGAGTAAAATATTCTACAACGCAATATTTGAAACGGACTCGAATACTTTTACAAAAGCTATGGAAGCAGAAAAGCTAAACATTGGCTGGGAAAAGTGTAAAATTGACGATGGAACGGATTTAATGATATGTTACAAGTGCCAGGGCTTCAAACATAGAGCGCCTTATTGCAGGTTCGACGAATGTTACCGTTAATACCATCAAAGACATCGTACTCGCGATTGCAATGAGGAGCCGGTTAATAAATGAATAAATTGTATACGTGCAAATAAGAAGCTAGGCTTGGGCCTTGACGAAAATCATGCAGTGCTTGACAAAAACTGTCCCGTGTATCTCAAAACACTTGAACAGAAGAAAAAGAAAATCGGATACTAGCAGTAGCACTACAAGAAACAATTAAGCAAATGGAAAAGTCCAAAGTTGATGTGCTAGCGGTTCAAGAAGTACGATGGCAAGGATGTGGTGAAATTGAATGCAATGATACAAAATTCCGTTTTAGTGGTGACGCTGAAAGGTCTGGTAGGTCTGGGACTGGTTTTCTGCTTAACAAGCGAGTGGAAAAATCGTTTTTGGGCTTCAGATCAATAAATGACAGAATATGTGTAATCTCCCTTAAAGGAATGTTTAGCAAATTTACACTGATAAATGCCTATGCTCCAACAGAAGATGCAGATGATATCGCTAAAGAGACCTTTTATGCAGACTTTGACGAGACAAGCACGAATCAACATGTGTAAAGACAAAGATGGGGAACTACTAGTAGAAAAAGAGGGCATTATCAAAAGATGACAGGAACATTTTCAAGAACTTTTCTACATTGGTTCGGAAAGTAATAACCTATCCTAAACAGACTTAGCTTCAAGTACAGAACAAGAACCTGAATCCACTCTTGACGAATTTACAGACGCAATAAAGCAAATGAAAAACGGAAAATCACCTGGTGAAGATAGTATATCAGCAGAGCTCATTAAACATTGCGGAGAAAGCTCAAAAATGGAGCTGTTTACATTAATCAAGCGTGTCTGGGCTGAAGAAAGTCTGCTGGAAGCGTGGCTCACTAGCGTAGTAGTACCACTGCACAAGGAAGGTGACAAACTAGATTGTAATAACTACCGAGGCATAACGTTGTTAAGCACATGTTACAAAATTTTTACATGCATTTTAAACAAGCGACTAAAGAATGCAGCGGAGGAAATATTAGGTGAATACCAAGGGGGCTTCAGACCGAATCGTTCAACGACCGATCAAATATTCCTGCTTAAACATAACCTGGAAATGAGTTTTGAGTTCAATGCATTAGTGCATATGCTTTTCATCGACTTCAATCAAGCATTTGACAGCATTGATAGAAAAATGATACAGAAAGCTTTACAGTCACTCGGGATCAATCAGAAGCTCATAAAACTAATAATGATTACACTGTGCAATACGACTGGAAAAGTGATAGTGCAAGACAGTCTAACAGATGCCTTCGAATTTAAAAGTGGAGTGAAGCAAGGTGACTCTCTTTCAACTACCATTTTCAACCTAGTCCTTCACGATGCTATTAAGTCACTGGTAGCAACAGGGAACATATTCAACAAAACATCACCGACCATTGCCTACGCAGATGACATAGCTATCTTAAGCAGATCACTTTACTATATGAAAGAAAAGTTCGTCGACTTACAACTCAGAGCTAAGATAGTTGGGCTAAACATTAATGAGAACAAAACAAAATATATGAGGATTGGAAGAAACATGCACATCTGAGTTTTAGAGCCTCTTCAAGTTGGTGAGTTCACGTTTGAAGAAGTTGAAAGCACCAAATACTTAGGTGTCCTTATTAATAAAAACAATGAAATCAGTGTTAGTATACAAGACAGAATTGTAGTAGCAAACAGAAGTTATTACGGACACGCGAAAATCTTCAAATCTAAAATCGTGACCAGAAGTGGCAATCGTCCGCCCGGTATTATGCTACGGGGCCGAAACGAGGACTCTAACGATAGCAGATGAAAACCAAATTAGAACATTCGAAAGAAAGGTGCTGAGAAAGATTTATGGTCCCATTCGCCTGAATCAAGAAGAATTTCGTCGGCGTACGAATGCTAAGCTACTACAACTTTGTGATGGTGAAGATGTGGTGAAGTTCGCAAAGTCACAACGCTTAAGATGGTTAGGACACGTCATGAGAATGCCGGACGATAGACCACAAATGCGAATACTCCATTTCACGCCGTATAATGACCGCAGCAGAGGTAGATCACATATAAGGTAATTGATCACTGTAATTTGTAAACAAATGGTCGGATTAACATATGATTTTGACAGTAAGCCTAAAAAGGTTGTCACTTTCGAAAAAAAATATATATTTAGTATTTGTGCCGCCATCTATGTGTCAGTCACATACATAATTGAACGAAGTATTAAATATTCATAAATGAATATAAGCATACATTACATATACTTTGAATATTATTAAATTAAATGGATTTATTTACAATAACATATAATTATGCAAAAAGTTTTTTTGATTGTAATTGAGTATGTTACACAATTATTTATACAATTTTCTTAGCTATTTATATATTTTTGATGTGCGGAAAATAGTTCAGAAGGGTTTCATATAAAAGTTGAAAGCAATTAAAATCTATTTTAGCTTGAAATCGAAAAAATATCTTTTGAAATTGAATTCAGTATAATATCATGGTTATAATGTTTTTCATTTAAATATCTTTTTGGAGTTTAAATATTTGTAAATTGGGTATATTATATAATGAAATTTAAGGTTATATGACATTAATATATACACTTTATATACTAATGCATGCAGCATTAAATTCACATATCTATGCAAATAAATTGTATACAGAAAAATAGAAATCATTAATTTTTATAATAGTAATTCAGTGTTAGACATATCAAAAGTCATATTATAATTTATTTTACTTATTTTCAGAAATAAATAACTGAGTATATAGCATTGTTCACTTCAAGAAATATAATATTCCAAAATTTATTTAATATATATTGGTTTTCGTTAGAAATTGTAGAAAATTATTTCGAAATTATATAAATTTTTAAACAAACGCAATAAATACTAATTTTATTGCTTGCACGGTCACTCCATTGTGGTGAATGCATTTTTAAAGTAGAGCATTGACTAAGAAATTTTCATTCTTATTAATTCGTAAACCGAATTTTGTAGACAGTACCGAATAGATAGTTGATGCGTGAGGGTGCGCACGCACGTCAACGAGCGTTGTTCAATTTCTGCCTACAAAATTTCATTTTATGATTTCGTAAAACGAATTTTGTAGTCAGTACCGAATATATCGTTGTTGCGCAGGGCTGTGCGCGCACATCGTTAATTTTTGTGGTGAGTATTATTAATAAACATATTGAGGTAATTAATTAAATGTTATATTTTTTTTTATTTTATGTATTATTAGTTTTGGGGAAATTTTCTTAATACTTATACCAAAAGTTGTGTTGTAAATTAATTACTTCTAACTTTTTTGATGTTTTTAAAAAATTTATTTTTGAAAACATTCCAATATTCTTTTATAGCAAATAAATTCAAACAACATGAAATAAAATATATTAGTATTCTTTTTTTAGAGACACATCTAAGTTTCGTATAACTCATATAAAATTTTTTCGTTATCTTTTATGTATTTAAAAAATATACAGTTAACTCATTTATTTATATATAAATTTAATTTTTATTATAAAATACACTTGATACAATTCATACAATACTCAAACGGTTATAGTTAGATAAATAAGAAAATATAGAATAAACATGTTTATAATAAACATAAATATTAAAAATGTAGCATTTTAAAATACTTAAATACAGTAGTTGTAAAACATAAAACAACGATACTGATGGTATTTCTTATTATTATTTGCACAGTACTGAATATTAATACACGAATACGAAAATATACTAACACAATGCCACGCCATCTACAAAACATTAATTTATTAATTATATACACTAGTATTTTTAAATCATAATTGTTATTATTTACTTACTTTATTATTATTTGAAAAAAATTTATAATTAAATCACTTTGATAATTTTTTGCTTTATACTTTTTCTAATATTGGGCGCAAATTAGTTTTACTACTTTTTAACAATCATTTGCGCGGTAATTGTTTTTTAAATATAGCGCAGTGCAATCAAATTTTTTGTCAAGAAATCAAAACAGAGAACCAAAATTATGCGCCCTGTTGCACTCATTGCTCATAAAATTTTTCTTATGAGTAACTTATGTAGTGATGTGTCGAACGTGTTGATAAATGGCTAAATGTGTGCAGTGCAAAAAATCCCAAAAAATCTCCCATTTGGTTTAGCATCAACTTAGCCTGACTCGCACACGTCCTAAGCCTAACTTGCACACGACCTATATATCAATGGTCGTAGAAAAAATTCTAGTTTTTTATTTAAATAATATCTTGAATACAGCAAGTTTAATAAAAATTTGACGCTAACTATTTTGACAGTAAATTTCCTAAATATGTATATCAAATAATACTATTGGCAGTGCAGACCCAAGTTAATTTATTTTTAAATTAATTTTATCAAATTTTTTAATCAAACAAGGTATGTAATATTATATATGTAAATTATTTCATTCGAGTTCGGTTATGTGTTTTAAAAAAGATATATTTATTAATGGGTAGAATTCGCTTCTAACCCTCTTAAAACCGTACAAAAGAATGAAAACTTAAAACTAACTTAAAACTAAAAATGAAAACTTCAATGTTCTGCTCGGGCGCCAATTATTTCATTCGTGTTCGGTTATATGTTTTAAAAAAGATATATTTATTAATGGGTAGAATTCGTTTCTAACCCTCTTAAAACCGTACAAAAGAATGAAAACTTAAAACTAACTTAAAACTAAAAATGAAAACTTCAACGTTCTACATATTACAATATTTACTTTAAAACGCTTAGCCGACAAAATCCAACAAAGTGAGCGATGCTCTTGCTTTTATATTCAAATGATCTGAGCTTACAAATAAAGCTTTTTACTCAAAGCTTGCTCAGATCGTAATTTAAATTCTACTTGTTCTCTATATTTTCTCTTACAAAATAACTTTCTGTTTTATACTTAACCCTACAAAGTGGGAGCATGCGATAACACCCCTCTTTCTTAAAGAGAAACGTCCCGTTTCTTTAGATGAGATAAAGTAGCTGCTCTTATGCGGTGGCTGTCTATTGTTTTTTCCTTTTTGAAGTTGCTTGCTGATTTATTTGGTGGTTGATTTTTGCAATGGTTTCATCGGGTTGTTTACGTTTGTGTGTTTTGAAGAATTTTGTTTACGTCTAGGTTTTGAAAAATTTGTTTACGTCTGGACTGTTTTATGCGTCTGCTCAGTTTATGACTGTCGTGCACGATGATGATGATTGTTTCCAAGAGTGTTGCTGCTGAGGTAATAAAGCGTTGCGTTGATCTTGAAATTATGTTTCGGTTTTTCAAGTTTAAATTCTTCATTATGATTTACAATATATTTTATTATCTTAAAATTTTGGATGGTTCATCTTTACATGATTATTAATTACAATTGTTTTTCGTTTAATTTAGATATGTAATATGTATTACTATTAAATCTGAGTTTTGTAAAATTTTGAATCATTTTTTCATACTGAATAGAGCTTTAAATATTAATGAGTTGGTAACTACTAAAACTTAATTAGTAGTTACAATCATTTGTTTTTTAAAATGTTTAGTAAGCTTATAATTTTTTTATGGTAAAGATATTTAAATATTTGACCATATATTCGGTCAGTCGTAGTTATTATATCTATTTTAAAATTTGACAAAGATTTGTTTATTAGTAAATGATAACTAGTACTATGAAAGAAATTTATAAACGGATCGTTAAGCTCCGTTTATTAGGCACAATATCTAAGTGGTTCGTTACTATGTTTTCTTCAAAATGACAAACTAAGATTTAAGTATTTATGTGCTATAATTGGAAGTTAAAAATTTAATAAACGTTACAGTTCTGTGAATTAAGTGAAGAAAAAGAAATATATTAATTTTTATATAATTTTAAATTAGCTTTTAAAAATACTTCATTAAATAATTTTCGGAATCTCTGTCAGATTCATATTATATATATTTGTTACTAACATTAGTTAATTTAAACATTAATTAATTTAAATAAAAAAAAATTATTGTTTCATATCAGTGCCCCCCTCTTTCTTAAGAATTGGGGCCTCGCCAATTGGTGTGTTTTTTTATATTTTATTTTCTTTTAGTATGTTAAAATAATATGTTGTTATGTCTGTTGGTTATACATTTTTCAGTTTTATTGTGTGATTGACTATATGTAAATGATTTCTTAGTTTTATTCGTGTGGGAAGTTGTGTATTCAAGAATGCGCTTAAATTTATGGTCAAATATAAAATATATAGTATTTATTTGTATCGCATAATTATTCTAATTAAGATATTTTTATTAGTTATAATGGGATTCTTGAGAATGTAGTGTCACCAAT